ATATTGAAGTATATAGAATACTTCTACCTTTGAGCGTGAAATTGTGAGAAAAATCTTCGCATAAGATACAATTATGAGGTGAATCAGATGATGGGAAAAGGATCAGGTTTATAAAGGTTCAGTATATGTGAAGGCTGGTACATATACTTCGCCACCGGAGGATGCAATTATAAAACACATAATATCACAACAAAGTTTTGATAAAAGAAAACTTGGATGATATACTGTTTGATGTGTTATTTGGGTTGGAACTAAATTACATCAGCTACAGCAACTTTGGTTTTGACATGAATTTAAAGATTATGACAATATGTATTTCAACAGAATGATGCTTGTTGCAGAACATGTTCTTTTTGGCTTTGTTATACGATAAATTTCTAAGTTAGGTGATGTGAATCGACTACCAAGATCAAGTGATTTATCATCACTTGAGCTTTTTATTTTTTGGTGAGCTTAAGTAAACCATCATATTTATACGGACAGACCTTAAACTCTCGACGCTTTGAAAATGAACACCTCTTAAGTTATGGATAATCTATCGCCAGCTATATGTCGAAAATTCATCGAAAATTATCTAAAAAGGATCCAGCATTGTAAGATATCGCGAGGAGTCATTCTAAATAATGTTGTAAATTATAGAAACATAGACTAGATGGCATGAATACAAAGTATTGGTAGTGCACATTTAGTTTTTGTAGACAATTTGTTTGAAAGCCTAAGGTAGACACTTTGACGCTTTGTAAATTGATTATGACGTCATACTTTAGTTTAAGTTCTCATAGAATACATATGAGTACTTAACGTATTTCCTTTTAGTTTAGCTAGTATAGTATTTCCTTACCTTAGTATAGCACTTTACTAGTATGCATAGCTACTACACAATTTCTGCACTTGTCATGATTTATACTAAATTTTCTTAGTTTATAATTTCTCAGGGAATTAACAAATTTTTTGAAACCATATCAAGTACATGTGCTTATCTCTTCATGCATGAGTTGAGCTTCCTGTTTTTTTTAAATTTAAAGTAAAGAAAAGTTCAAAGTAATTATTTTAGCTACGCAGCTTATCTACAAATTTCAGTTTAGTTTACAAATCGTTTTTTAAGCCGCACTCGAAGATAAAAACTATATTTAAAGCTCTACTTTAATTCAACACAAATTAAGTCAAATTTGCACGATTTCATGGATATTCTGTAGATTCTTCCCACATAAATCTACATTTGGCGAACTCTTCACTCCTTCGCAGCGGAGTACGCGAGGAGTCAGAGAAATAAAAATAGCAAATTGCACTGCATTGCATGCACTTTTCCATAAAATGGCAATTTGCTAAACTTTGTTTTGCCGCTTTTATGCTGACTTCATGCCAAATTATATGCAATCCACTAAAGATTAATGCATCAGCAAGTTAATAGGCAGAAATGCGGATATGTACCAGTACGAGCTGCGACGGATTCTCATAAATGTGCAAAAGCTTTTCTAGGAAAATTTGTGCTAGAATTTGCATTTGCTGCATGATTTCCAAGTTTTCTTAATTTACTGGCTACTCTTTTTTAGCAGTGCTCTTTCTTCGCTAATGAAAACGTACTAATTTCAGCAATTTTTCTGCATATTTTTTATGCACCTAACGATCTTATGATAAACGGCAAAATAATCTAGACGCTATGAAAATTCTTGAATCCATGAAGATTTATTCTTCTTTTTGCTTCGTTGCTTTATGATTTTTTGATTGCAACTGTTGCACATGCGTGCACATCTTCAATTGTGCTTTGAGTCCCAACCAGAGTCACTCAGTCAACCGGTCAGTTAGTTAATATATTCATTTGGCCAAGTGAAGCTAGTGTGCTAGTGAAGCTAACACTTGATGTATGGCTGGCAATTGGCTTAACTGATAAGCTCGACTCGTATCGAAGCCATGCTTACTTACTTTCTCTCTGAAGCGATGCTGCCGCTTCAGCAATTATGCAGCGAAGCATTAACATTAAGCATCTTTTTGTGCTGCCTAAGCGTTGAAAGATACTTATTCATGGTTCGTTCAGGTGCCATGCCCACAAATTTGTTTTCTATTTTTTTATGACGTTGTAAACACACAAATTATCGAATTACTTTTCATACATAAAACCACACTTACACTCGTAATATACACAATATCTTTAATATATTCCCATTCATCGTTTTTGATAGTTTAATTTTAATAATTGCACATATTTTGTGTCTTCAAATCTTTCACTTTTACTTTTCCATATATTCAAATTTTACATCAATCAAATATTAACGATTATAAATTTAAATATTCAAAAAAAATACAAAATACTAAACCCAAGCAAGCAAGTATCTGAATCATTCGCTTAGCGTGCCAAAACAAATTAAAATTATTAGTTTTAATCGCAGAAGCGTTTTGCAGACCTCACCTCTAACACAACCGATTAAAATAAGCTGAGACTAATTATATTTAATATTTTGACTTTAATAACAGTTAATTTAACAGTAGCATAAAATGTTACTTTTTGATGCTGTTGTGCCTCCACTCTTTGTACTGCAGAGATACTAAATCTGATCTCATGTACGAGTATCTCAACTAAATAAATAAAAAAAGATTACGTGAAGGAGAATTTATACTGTTTTGTGTAATCATTTTTTAGTAAAACATAAATTTTGCAAATTTGCAAAAATATAAAATAAACTTATAATTGTTATATTAATTGCATATTACCGACTAAATATTATCTCTGAATATTTTGTAAAATTTAGTATTTCAATATTCTTACTATAAAGTTAAAACTTAACTTTACACTAAAATATAGTTATAAAGAATTTTTTTGCGGTTAGCATATAATTAAAATTTCTTATGAATTTTTTCGTTTAATACATATTAATTGATTTTTTCGTGAACATAACAAAACTAATAATTATTATAAGAGAATAACGAAAATATTAAAACATAAAAGAAAATGCTTCATACTACTTCGGCTAATTGACTTCAATTATGAGAATCATTTCTACTTTAATCTACTCATGTGTAAAAAGTACTCACCGCTATGATTAGTAATTATCTACAAACACTAAAGTATTTGGTCTCCAAATAAGCCTAGAAAGAAGAATGCCAACTTCTTAATTAGGTTAGGTTGCAAAAACACTAAGTACACGATCCGCAAGTTTATTGAAACCTAAAGATCTTTCTATCCAATCTAGGCTAAAGGCATCTAATGACCTCATAGTGTCCGTGATAAGTACATAATACCTCAATAGTAAATTCATCTATGTTCTTAAACAGTTCACGCACAGGGATTTGTGTTGAATTTTGAACCTTTTACAAACCGTTACTTCAGCTCATTCCTTTGATATCTCTTTAGTCAGGAATACAAAAAACAAACAAGAATATAAGCATATACAAAAAATTAAAAGTTACGTATTCTAGAGACATATTAATTGCATTACTCATATGAAAATTCAATACCAGCTCTAGGAACTGTTAGGTCACAGATAACATCTGCCAAAAATCTTCAATGTTTCTATAAAAGCAATTTCTTGAAGTCGATGAATAGCGTTTCATTCAAAATAGAATTCAAAAAAAGAGGACTGATACGCATAACACACATCTAATAAAGAGAACACACTCTGTTTTCATCTCAGCAAAATGAAGAAACACCAAAATTGATCCATTAGTTTTTGATATACCCTTAAAAATGCAATTTATAACAGTAAACAGTGAATTTCTCTAACTAAGCGGTCTACTTGGTTGGAACGTACTTGTTCAAAAGAAAAATTAATAGGAGGTCATCAATAATGACATTCTATGGAAAGCTGTATACAATGAATTATTTTTTGGGAGTGGATTTAAATGCTCTGGTTGTATTTTACTTTTAATCAAACTATGTTTCACATTATGTTTTTCAAAAAACCTTATAAAAACTAAATGAAGTGTTATAGGACTATAACTGTAACTATATAGTAACTGAAATGTTGCATGGTCTCCTAGATCGTATGAGTTAACGCCGGTGAAGGGTTGTCTATGGAACTATTAGTGATCTATGCACACAAGTCAACAAGGCCCTACGGAAGCAAGTTTTGAGTGCACCTTTCATGAGATATAATCTTATAAAATGAAACAGAATTGAAGCTTCAGAATAAAGTTTTCAAGATTAATTGACAGATATCATCGTCTGTCATTAATAAGTCATGATTCAATTTAATGTATAACTCATTTTCTAAAATTTTGTGTTTATGTTGGTTGTTTTTTGTTTTTTTTTTTGTCAATTCGAAATCCCACACCTCTTATAAATTCTACCTATATACGCGTTTTAATTTAACAATGTATAATTACCAGATGTATGGTATGCAAATTTTTCAAACCCAATGAAATTATTTCATTTTTTAACTTTCATTTCCATTTCTAATTACAAAAAAAACATGAATAAAATTTGCAATATAATTCACTTCTTTTGCAAACTTAATCCACTTAGCAATATGATGAAAACTACTTCAAATTAAAAATTTTAATATTAAATTAAACTGTAATTACTTTCTCATTATATACTTAACCAAATTTAGAAAAACAACGTTGGCGTTTGTAATTATGGTAGAAAGACTTACATTTAATAACAATTAAGGTGTAAGTACTTACTTAATATGGAAAAAAGTGAAGTAGATATCTTATTGAAAGGTATACTTAGTGTTAACATATGAATACTGTAATATTTTGTAGTGATGTAAGATATTATATATTTTATCAAACTTATACTCTTTAGTCCAGAGAGTTTCACTATAGACGTAATATTCAAAAACAAAACAAGCAAATTTTATTCTGTGTAGGTTTATATATAACCTTACACTGAAATCATAATCCAAATGAT